GATTTATTTGATGAGGGAGGAGGAAGGGGGGGAGGAAGGCATTTTTTTAACCGGCGTTTGTGCATTGGTTCTGGGTTCAGCGCGCTATCGACGACTGGGAAGAATAGGGTTTTAATGACATGTATGTCAAAAGGTGTCTTTATGGTTACGCAGTACAGTGTCATATGATTGAAGGTACATAGGTTAATGAGGTTTCATCGTCTTAACACTGGGTGTCTTCAATTTGAGTGGTTTACAAGGAAATAATGCAGTTGATTGAATTGCAAGAGCGCTGCTCAAATACCTGCAATAGAGGGCTGCTTCGTACAAAGAAACAACCAGCACCTTAATGAAACAAGAACTCTATACTTGCCGCTGAAATATAAATAAAAAAGAAGGTACAGTCACTGGACAAAAGTCTCGATAATGACCCCATTTTACACCAAAACTTATACTTTTTAAGTATAAATAAATCAAGATTTTTATATGTAAGTAAATTAATAAAAATCTAAACTTAATAAATAATTGATTTAAATTTACTATTATTATTTTTTAATTAATTTTCCTATTTTTTTAAGCATAGATTTGTAAGCTTAAAAAGCGGAAAAATTAAAGATTTTAATTATAGTGGGTTATATTAATGCCAACGGACACGGCTCCCTCTTCCGCTAGTAAACCGCTAATATTCATCCATAGTATAATCCTCTACCTATGTGCAAGTACACTAAGAAGAAAGCTAATGCAGTATTACTGTGTGAGGAACAAACTAATCAACCATTATTTAACATCACGCATTATGTGTCCTACAGAGTTAAAAAGGCTTCTGCAGAGTAGACCTAGTGTAGATTTAGCATGTTCGCATTACACTTATCAGGGGTAAGTAGTTTATTAGGTGCTATAAACTTTATAGCTACTGTAGCTAACATGAGAACACCTGTTATAAAATTACACATGGCCCATCTCAAATCAGTGCCATCCACGGACATATCCAACCAGTCACACCTAGGGTGTGATTCCCGGAATTAGGGTCAATCTTTTGACCTCAATTTTAACGTATAATTTAGTATAATATAGACGCTAGACTTAAATTAGCTAGATGTAACACATAAATTTAAGTAAAGACCTAATATTTTACATAAACCTTTATTTATCTCTACTTATAATGTATTAAGCTAATAGAGGTAACTTTAATACCTATAAAAGGCTTAATTATTAAGATTTACGTGAAATCTTTTAAAAATTCTTCATTAAAAATGTTAATAATAACTTCACGTTAATTTCTATTAATTAAAGTAATTAATATTCTTCTTTAATTAAAATAAGCTTATTAATTAACTTAAATAACCTTTTAATATTAACTTTTTTAATTGATAATAACGGTAATAATAATTTAAGGCTTATAATATATATTATAGCGTTTTATAAGGTGTTTTTTACACTTAAGAAATTATTAGTAATTAAAATAAAAGACGAAATATTAAATAACTTACCTTAAGAAGACTTATTAGTATATACTTAAGAGCTTTTTTATGCTTTAAATAGCATCTTTTTTAATCTTTATAAAATGTTAAAGAGTGTGTTTTTCCTATTATATAAGTGGTTATTAAATAATATATAAGTTAAGGCTAGTAAAGATATATCTCTTAAATAAAAAGTCCTTATTTTCTTATAGATTTATGCGTTTAATACCCCTTAAAGGCTTATTATAGCTTAATTTAAAGTCTCGTAAATATTAATATCTTAGATATTTTATAATATAATTAAACTAATATAGGATTTACACACTAAGTTTATTTATTAGCTAAATTAAATATATATCTCTTATTTTATAAAACTTAATAAGAAATTCCTATAATTTAATAGTGCTATTAAAGCGATTAACGGTATATATATTAAGGCGTTCGTTCTAGTAAGGTAATAATAGTAATTTTAATCTTAAAAGCATTAAATATTATAAAATGTATTTATAGCCGTAAATTTTAAGGGATTATTCACATATATACTTACTAGCGCTAAGGGATTAATTAACGATACTAAGTTGCTTTATCTTATATTAGTAAGGTCTTTTTAAGTATTAAAGGGAAGGTTTTACCTTAATAATACTAGCTTTAGCCTTAAAAAAGGTATATTAACGCCTTTTAAAGGCGAGCGGTATTATTTTTAGGATTTTAAAGAGGAAAACTACCGGCTAATAACGGAAAAAGAGCTGTATAACTATTATTACTCGTAGCTTCGTGTATAGGTTAAATAGTAATTCAAAAAAGCGAAACGTAAATAAAAGGTAATCTAATATAGCGTGGTAAAGTATTAGTACCTAAATTAAATTCGATTAATTTATGCTATAATAGGTTTATTTAACTTTATTACGCTAAATAGCGTTAAATCTACGATATTTAAGGAGGCAGAAATTATAGCTCTTAAAGATAACAAGTATTTAATACTTTTAAAAGCTTATAAGCGGGTAAATAAAGTGGTTAAGGCATTTTTAGTAAAGGATTTACGTGAAAATATCGTAAAATGGCTTTAGTAGTAAAATTTAACTTCTTCTAATAATGTAAATAAGTAAGAAATAATAAAATTAGTGGTTATAATAGTATTATTATTATTAAAAGAATAAAAAGGCACTAGTAGGTGATAAAATTACTAGCTAGCCTACTAATTTTCAATAATTATAATAATCTTACAGCTTTAAAATCACCTTAAATTATCGCTAAAGTTTAAATTAATCCACGTATTCTTTACTAGGCTAAAATCAAGTAAATTCCTAATTAAGTCTAGGGTTAATGCTATAAGTACCGTAAAGGCGTTTTAATTATCCCGTTTATTAAGCTAATTATATTTTAAATTACTAGTAATAATAATAAAAGCGTTATTAAAGTTATTACTAGACTTATTAAATATAATCTTAAAGCTTTTTAATTATTATAACTCGTAATTTCTCTCTATTACTTTTATAAAAGTAGCTTAATCGCTAGCCTTAATTATATTCTAGCTAGTAAAAAGGTCTTTTATAAATATTTTTAATTAGGTATTAAATGTAATATCATTATTAATTAATAATAGCTTTTAAATAATAATGATATTACATTTAATTAGGTATTAAATGTAATATCATTATTAATTAATAATAGCTTTTAAATAACTTAATTTATAATTTATAAGGGCTCTTTTACCTTAATTAGCTTAGTATTATTAAGGCTTATTAAAAGTATCCTCGTTTATTTATTATATTTAATACTAGATTAATTTACTACTTTAAGAAACACTTACTAAAAGTTCTAAAAGTTATTTTTCTTCTTATCTAATATAATATAATTTTAATTACATGTA